CTAAAAAACTGAACTATGTACTAATTAAATATGTATACAACATGTTCTGTATTACATTGTCTGAAAGATGACTAAATAAACATTATTATTATTATTAAATGTTTTTCAGTTTAATGTATTGTATATTAATTTAAAATACTGTAGATATTATTATGTTGTTAACATGTTTTTGTATATTATTTATAATAATGTCTAAATTTAGATGTTTGTTCATTTTTATAACTTTTAACGATAGTTGATAATGATAATTTTATATTATTATACTATGAAATAATATGAAACAATATAATAAAAAACAATTACCGTAAGGTAAGATAACTGTTGAACTTAATATAAACTTTATATAATTGTTAATCATTATGATCAATAAAATACAGAAATGTTTTTATAGTTATCTCTTTTGTATTATTTTAATATTTAATATTAAGTTAAATTTAAGGTTTTTACTGGAATAATCTTCATTGAATTAAATAATAATAACATATACTGTACTTAATATGCTAATACTTAAACTACTTGTTAGATATTGAAATCAATGGCTAACATATTTTTCCAAGTGTTGTGTTTGCTAAAACCAATTCGCAAATTATTGTCATTTTATAGAAAAAACAATGAAATTATTGACAAACAAAATGTGATAAAATTGAATAAATTATTACCAAAATCAGTGATTATAGCGAAAGCCGGCACTCATTTCTATAGTATTGGTCTCTCTCTTTATAAGCCGTTCAATGCCTATAGAAATACATTCAAACATCCATTACTTATATTTATTGTATTTTTGATTGTATTTGTAAGACAATTGACATTCATTTTAATTCCTGAACAAAATGAATATTTTTATTTAATTTTCGGAGATTTATGTTTTTTTCTTGGATTGAGAATACAACTTAGTTTATATTGTATTTTTGTTGCTTTAATCTTAATGTTTTCACAAATAATTTATTTCTATAATTATAAAAGAGGTATAAAACCAACAGACTTGAGAGTATTTGAAATGCTTTCGGGTTTTATAACACCTAAAAGTATTGGCATTCAAGACATACAACTCGTCTATAAATTGTTGAGATTTTGCGAAATTATGCTTAAAATAATTGAAATTTGTTCACATATTACCATTTATTTAATATCAATATTAATTTTAACATATTTCCTATTTAGCGAGTTCAAAATATTTGTTGTAACACATTTAATTATTTGGACCTATTTATCTTCTAATGCATTTAATATTATTGTTGGACAATTAACTTATTATTTCATTATTTGTTTTTATATTCGTTTGAAAATTAGATTTTTAAATAAAATAATTAGCTTTCAATCATCAAAAATATCTCATAAAAGTGTTGTCAATATTTTAAAACATTTTAATATTATATTTTTGGAAATCATTGAATATAATGATAACATTTGGTGTAAAATTTTGGCCATATTTTGGATTATAATTTCGTGGATATTATCGCTGTTGTTATATATTGTTGTTTTCAGTAAAAGTTTGATTATTATAAAAATAATTATTTTATTTATTGACCTAGAATTTTTATTAATGCTGTTATTTGTGATACATTTTTCATCACTTCTTAATAATACGACTGAAATATCTTATAAATTATTAAATTCGTATTTATTTACTAAATATTACTGTAATATTTGCCACAAAATAAAAGTAATTATAGCTTTTCATTATAGTATAAATTAAATATTATTTTTTGAATCAATAGTTGATGTCATTTATCGAGCGTTTGGGTCAGAAAAGGGTTGGCTTTTATTGTTGGAAATTATTTAAAATCAATAGATTTCAAGGATATAAAGTAAATTCTTATTATAATTAAATGTTTATACTTTCATTATTTTATATAAAACTATCAATTTTACAGATTTTATGTTTTACGGCTTTATTATATATAAAAATACTCAAATGGCATAATAAATACGCCTAGGTAAATAATATTTATATTTATTTATTATATGGTATCAATAATAAAGAATATATAATTTATTTATTAATAATTGTTTATTTATTTATTAATAATCTTTATTATTTATTTATTAATAAAGAATATATAATTAATAATTAATTAATATAGAATATAAATATACAGTATATAATATATTGGCAATAATAATTAATATTCAATAGTAATAACAATCGAGTAATAATCATTTATACAGTACAATTTCTTTATAATAAACAGATAATTCGAATACTTAATTCATATTTACTCGTAAAAATAGTTTCTAAATATAAAAACACTGTATATAATAAATGTAACAATCAATCAATAATAAATAATTCATGTATTCTATACCAATATCACTTATAATAATTATAATTACTTATATTAAATAAAATATTATATTTACAAATGATTGTAAACACACTATAAATAAAATGCATTAACAAATAATATTAAAATGATGACAATCATTGTGAATGTTAGTCTCTTATAATAAAACTCGTGATAAATAAATAAATGAAACACAAGTTTATAATTAAGTAAAAGTAAAAATTTATAATCATAAATAGTAAAAATTTACAAAACATGGTTATATTTAGCAATAAATACCACAAATTTATGAGAATTTTACTCCTCATACACCGCATAATCGGCATTACATTCGGTGGTATATGTATTGACTCGTCGGGGAAGTTGTATACTAGAAAACTTTATAAATTATATGGCTATTTAATACAAACCAGCATGGTCGTATGCGATCTATTCCTTATTAGCGGCATTGTATCAAGTTTAATTATTTTTGTTCAAAATATAATACCAATAGAACTACAAATAATACAGTCTATACTCATTCCAATGGTTAGCTTATTTCTTATAAATAAATATAGCATGGTGTTTCCAATAAACGGCACCATGGGTTTCCAACTCATTACCGATTATCGTACTATCCTATCAATTGGATCAGGGTTAAATAGGCGTTTTACAAATAAACATTTATACAATATTTTGATCATGTTTGTGATCCGAATGATTTTAGTAATTGTATTCTATTTAACAACTATATTATATGAATTAACACCAACTTTAAACTGGTTGGAAATGTTGTCATTATATTTATGCCTACTCTACATGTGGATTGTGCCAACATTTACTTGGTTTGTATCTACGTCAGTGAGCGTTGTGTTGGGCGATATGGTGACCACGGTCAAAAAGGTAAATCATAAGGGTAAGTATCATAAATAAAATAAACTTGTATTATTATATTTTTTAATTATTTACCCAGATTCACTCAGCGCAGCACAAATTATTCGTATGAAACATGTATTCATACAAATGCGAGACATTACTGAGAGGTTGGACTGTAGGTTACGGTATGTGCTGGCGTTGAACACATTATGTACGATATTCGGGGTGATGTGTCAGGTGTATACCCTGGTAATGGTGGGGCCGTACAGAAACAACGTGATGGTCGACTCGGATAACACGGTAATTAAAGCGATGGTCTTCTGGTCGCTGTCGGCCGTGTTTTCGGTCACAGAACTGGTCATATCGTGTTTGGTCTGCGGATCGGTTCAGCGAAAGGCCGACGAATTGAACGCCGCGTTTGACGGCATAAATGCCGGCCATTTGGTCGACAGTGAGTCGCGTCGGGAATGCCTTATGTTTGCGACTGTAATGCGAACGAGCGGTACGTTTGGGTTCACTGTCGGAGGGTTTAGTGCACTCAACAAATCCACATTAATTGCCGTAAATATTGAGCTTTTGATTACTTTATTGTATAATTATTTTCACTTTCGGTTACTCCATAATAATTTTAATTGATTTTTTTAAATTTTACATTTAGATTTTCTCATTCATGCTCAATTACACCGTTATTTTATTGCAAACAGCACGATCGAAGTGACCATCTTATAATAATAATACATTAAATAACACTATTATATTCAATTTACAGGTTATTTGTTTTACGGCATTGTTAATTGGATAAATAATGTTTAAATTAATTATATCTAGACTTAAAAATTAAGAATATAAATATTAAAATTTAATGTTTGCACTAATTTTCAAGTATAATTATATTAAAAATACAATCACAAGTATTTATGAATTAAAACCCATTGACATACAATGTATAATGTGTGTAATGTATAAACCTTACAGACTGTAAACTTATTTGAAAATCAGACACAAAAAGCTGTAATTATTTGTCGCAATAAATAACAATTGTGTAAAAAGTGAATAACAATTGATTTCTCACTTTAAAATGTGTCGCAAAAATTAATTCAACCCTTAATTCACAAATTTTTATTGTGATCAACAATTTAACTAAACATATCATTCACTCATACTTTCAGTTGTGATATTAAAAAACTTTTAGTTTTAGTTTTGCAGTGAAAACCCTATCGCAATGTCGAGAGACATCCATACACTCGTCAAACAAAGTTTCAAAAGTAAAACTCATTTTATAAATCAATAATTAAATCATTAATTAAATCATTAACTCATTTTCAACTAAATTAACCATGCTTACTTCCAAACGAACCATGTAATCAATTCAACCAAAATATAGACGTGTTTATAGTGGGCGCCAAACGGACACCATTTGGTTCATTCGGCGGGGCCTTGAGATCGGTTACGCCCACAGAATTGGCCGAAATAGCCGCCAGGGGTGCCCTCCAGGCGGCCAAAGTCGGTCCCGAACTCGTCCAGTCGGTTGTCGTCGGTAATGCCATTCAGGTCTGTCTCTGTGTGTCTATTGTCTCATTAAACTCAACCATAATATGTGACAATTAATGGCCCAAAAAACCCAAACAACTAGATCTCGGCGGACGACACGCCGATCATCGCGCGGGGTATTGTCGGTCGACTGGGCATACCTATCAACGTTCCCGGACTGTCCGTTAACATACAGTGCGGCTCCGGCTTTCAGGCCATCATTCAGGCCTCACAGGTATCGTATACTTTGATATGTATTAGTAAATTGATTCAGAGTTGTGACCACTTGTTTGTTGTTAAGGACATTATGCTAAATGATTGCGAAATTACGCTGGCGGTGGGCGTCGAGAATATGAGTCTCACGCCGTTTATGGTATGTATTTTTATGGCCACAAAGACATACCACACAATCACCCAAAACAAACATACAATAAATTTATAAACTTTTTTTTAATTGATCCACAGTTAAGGGGCGCCCGCTTTGGTGTTAAGTTATCGCAAACGCCTCCGGTATGAGATAATGAACTACTAATTACCAGTCAATCACCACAACTGATCCCTATTTGATGAACAGCTGATCGACGCACTCTGGGAGGGCCTGAAGGACCACAACTGCAACCTCCGGATGGGAGAGA